TTAAATATTTTTACAGATACCACAGCCTAATTTTTGGTTCTTCACTACTAACCAGGGATATTTTGCATAAAACTTAGAGTATATTTCATTTGTCCAAACACTGGGAAAATCAAAATATTTAGAATCTCAATCAATAACGTTTTGACTGGCGTCGTCATCACTCTCACTTAAACTATTTATAAAACCACTAATTAAATTTGTGCACATATTATCCTCACCATAATTACAAAGAGACATTTTTGATTTTTTTTCTGGAGTTTCCTCTTGGCTTGGAAAGTCTGAAGTCGAATTATTTGTATTTGAGTTCAACTTTGTTAACCAATTTAATAATGACATATTTAAGTCTTATTTTTATTTAATCTTATACCGCAAAATCGCACATAAAAAATATGAGTTTATGACAAATAATTAAGCGTATATAGGGCGTTTAAATTTTTAAAATTAACTAATTAATTATTCGTGACACACTGAACTACTTATTTCACAAATGGGGCATGGTTGACTTACCACTGTGCGAATGCGGTGAAGTACAGAATATCACGCACATTGTAGAGGCTAAAATGACATATGCATAAAGATAAATAAATAATTCTACATTCAAGTACCTAGTGGGACCACTTTCCCTCGTGTTTCTCGATAAATCTTATACCAATGGAAAGCCCACAAAATTTGCTATTAGAAAAACTTAATTTCGAAGGGTACAAGTGATGGGAACGTATCCCCCATGAAGAATTAAACACAGGTATGGTTACGGAAAATTAATTTTCTGAGTCATATGCCTCACGTTGTTGGTGATAAAATCTTATATCATTGAAAAGTCTACAAAATTGACATTTACAAAGATACATTCGGGAGCTAACTTCATGGAAGTCATAACCTGCGACTATATTTTGTTATACTCTCATGCCATATGATCCAACGACAACCAAAATCACATATTAATATTATTATTTATGTATAATACATATAAGTATGACTGTTGGCGTTCAACATGTCAATAATACTTTTGCACAATGTTTTAATAATGTAAACATTGTTACGGGAAAAGTATATGATGAATGAAATAAATAACACTGGTTGGTTTTCCAAGTGGCGTCAAGCCGTTTAATAAGAAAAATAAGAATTGTAACACAAGAAAAGTTATGTGCGAACCAAAAGTAACAATGATACTACATAAGAAACCGTCGACAAAATAACAAAGATGACCGAATTTGCGGTGGCGATTGGGTTGGGTTCACGGACGGTACAACCAATGTGATAGGTGTCACGAAGATGACTGACTGGACGTATTATTGCGGCGGGGTATTCGACACTAGGCATTTGTTGGACTTTACACCACGACGATAACGCGTGTGTGTAACGGTCCGGTTTACAGTGAAGCGGTGGCTGAGAAGGAGCTGATACGACCGCGGGGTGTCAAACGTGTGACAACGCCGTGGATGTGTCAACATTTTTTTTAATCTTTAGTAAGTGTTCCTGTAGGATAAGAACAATTAGTCTTCAAATTAGAACATATTTTTTTTGTTTAATAAAAAGAAAAAGAAATTATAATATTAATTAATTGTTTAAAAGTTATTCTTAAGACTTAATCACCTATTTATGGATGAAAGAAAGTACAAATTCTAAACTTTGTGAAAAAATCATTAAATGACACATACAGGGTATCTTTCATAATGAATAACCCCATGTAAACATACTCATTAAATTATGAAAAATGATTGATCAATACTTTGTCTACTTAGCATTACCTAGTATATCAGCTTATTTATCCAAAGATTTTATAATTCATAGCAGAATTTGCATTAAACATGTTATGTTCAATTTGTGTAAATATTGAAAAATAAGTATGGAGAATAAATTTAGCCAGTATCTTAGTAGTATACTAAGCATCACTAAATAAGAAAGTTATAATCAAATAAACTATATTAACACTTTGGTAGTCACCATGTAGTAGGTATTTTATATTCTAGAAATAAGTAAATATATAATTAGATATCAATTCAATGTATGCATACAGTGTAGAATCATCGAGTTAATTGAGTAAAGTCATCAATCAATCGAAGTGGAAGGGAATTCTGTATAGCTGACTAACAAGAAAACCTTGAATACAAACCGAACTGCATTATTTAAAAAAACTACAAACGTTAGTTTATTATGCAGTGTAAGTGAGATTCGCATACAAGGAAAAACAAAAAAACAATACCAACCGTTCATAGTCCAACGACGAAACATGAAATTTGTAAGGAACTACCTGAACTGATAGCATCGCAACATAACCACACTATAATATGGTAGCTACAATGGTACCAACTGACAATTAGTTTTTCAGGAGGCACGTTATTTAGGGTATACTAGATCAATTTTAATATAAACATAGGAATTAATTCATATGTTAAAAACAAATGTGGCACCCTATAAGTGTCAATAATTTAGCTTCATCTTTGTATTGCTGTAATTTTAGCGAATATCACTGATCATTTATTATCAAATATGTATATTGTAATTTAATAAAAATAAAGTTAATACCCTTATAAGGGATAAATTAAAAATTTAATATTAAATTAAGAGATAATTAAAAAAAAAAAATATCAAAATTAATGTTCATAAATTTTTATTGTGTCATCCAACTAAAAATATAGGTTGCCATTAAAAAAAAATTAATATATATATTTTTTATCTATGAAAGGATAAAAAAAATGATATAATTTCATTTTATTATAGTTATTTGAAACTAACAATATTATCCTTTGTGAAAATTATAAATTGTTGATAATTTAAAGAAAATCTCCAATTTTCTAGAATACAATATTATAAGTTAATATTTTATTTTTATTGTAGTATATTAAAACTGTAATATAATTTAAAATCTAGTATAGAAATTTTTATGCAAGTTATTTATCAATAAATAAAAAAAAATTAAAAGCATTAACTGGGTTGTATATCTTTATAACATAGCAAATAATTCTGATTATACCATTTTTTCAGAGTCAGAAATTTTTGTTGATATTTTTTAGACTTCAAATTAAAAAAAAAAAACTTCAAATAATTTTTCAAAAGTTTCTATATAATATATTCAAGATGTGTATTCAAAAAAATTTTGATTGGCTCAAATTTTTAATAATAATTCAGTAATATTTATTTATTTACTTTTATTAATTTATTCTACTAGATCAGAAAATATTGTAAAAAACATATTTAATCAAATTTAATCTGACAAAATATTATATTTTGAACTGTATAAATTTGTAAATTGAATTAAAATAATATCTGGTTGATTATATGAGTTAATATATTTATCTTTATTAAATAAGAAGAGATAATTAAATAAGATTTTAATAGATAATAGCAATTGAGTATAGAATATTTTTTAAATTTTAAAAAGAGCATTTTAATTAAGCTTAAAATATAGATCACGTATAAATACATAATTTAATTAATGAAATAGTATATTATTTCAAATAACTATTAAGAATTAATATTGAAAATTTAATAAATTAATTTTATTTTAGTTAAAAATGTCCAATGAATTTGATGATATATCTGAATTGTCTGAATTTCAGCTTAAAACTTTAATTACAAATTTTCAGAGTAAATTAATTGATGTCCAAAATGAAATGGAAAAAGTTTTGAAATTAGCTAAAAAGTTTGATGATGCAGGAACAGTATGTTAAATAGTTTATATATTTATAAATTTAAAAACACCATATTAAACATTTAAAATGTTGATACCTAAAATACCATATTCTTTAATCAAAAATATTTTAATCAAATAAAAATTCCTACTATAATTTTTTCAGAGTAGACCTGCTAACATTTCATTGAATGTGGATTTGAACTTAAATACATACTTTAAATTAAAAATGAACGTTGAAGATTCCTTCAAACATGTTCAAGATCTAAACTCATATAAAAAAAAAAAAATGGAGGTTTGTACTGGGTAGATTACTAAGATGTTTTTAAATATTATGTAATTTTTGTAAGATTATAATTTTAATATTTTATTAATTTACAGGACCCGTTAAATATTTTAACCATGTTCATTTCTGATATTTTGTTTAACAGAAATCTATCAGGACAAGAAGCGTTAATAGTTGTGATATCTGATGAAATCGAAGAAAAATATATGGAATTATTTCAGTAGGATAACTTTTTATTACCTATATACATATATAGATAGTTTTAAAATAAGAAATAAATGTATTATTTTTTTTTTAAATTTGTGACATATAATGTACATTTGAAAGAATGCCTTTAATGGAAGTGCAATAAAATAAAGGTGTATAAAAACACGTTTTATAATTCATAAATCTATCAGGCGATTTATAAACTTATTCCATAAAAATTTATTTTGTTTAATAATGTATAAAGGCTGCTTCTTGTAAAGATTATTTTTGTGGTAGTTATGGTTAAAACACTAAAAACACATTCTGCGACCAGTAAATTTTTTTTTTTAAATATCAAATTTTCATAAAATGTGTATTTTAATATATATAATAAAGTTAAAAGTATTCTTACTCAAAATTCGATGATTTTTTGAACCAGCAATTTCTTTTACAATAGTTTTGGTTACATAGTTTTTTAATTGTTTTTGTCATCTTACCTCAGCGGGGGAAAAATAACAAAAATGACTATCTTCAGGAAAACTCATTTTTCCTTAAATTTGAAATGTTTAAAAAAATTTGCAGTTTTACACTAGATATTGAAGTAGTACTCATGTCAATTACAAATTTTAAATCTATTTACAGAAGTCAGAAAGAACCTTAAAATGATAGTTTTGCCCTCTTATTGTGCTTTACCTTATAAGGCATGAGTTTAAAAAAAATTAATAATTAATAAATCAAGAAATATATAAAACTAAAAAATACTAAATTAATTTTCTTAATGATGTAATAACTATTGTAATAGTAAGTATAATGAAATTATTTTAAGAGAAATCAGAAAATTTCTTCATAAAAATTACTACACTAAATTATTAAATATCAATTTCATACTAAAATTAATTACTATAATAAATATTTTTATTCATAAACCTAAATCTAAAAAGATTTAAGTGTAGGGTAATTCTATTTAAAGAAACAAGTTTCTTTTGGAATAATCCAACAATTATAATTGTTTTAATTAATCTAATAATTAAATACTATATCCAGATTTGCATCAGTGTTTTTTATGATAGTGGTTTTAATTTTTGTAAGATATAATTTAAACTTTTCCAAATTCGTCCAACGTCCCACTGTATTTTTTTTTTAATATTTATAAGTACTGGGTTTTGTAATCACTATCATGAGTTTTTGAAATATCCGTGTTTCCATTTAAACGATTTTAGTTGTCTTACTTTTTGACTATAAAAAATAAACACTAGAAAGAATGTTAATAATTATTATTAAAACATTTGTATGTTTTCTAGCAATACTAATACTTCAATGCAGAATTTGATCATACTAACTTTACAATATCTAACTTCGGATTATATTTGTACAAATCTCGCAAATATTAAAATAGCCCTCATGGACGGGTCAGAGGAACTTTACAAAAACTATGTTGGCGGATCTTGTGTTTGGTGGATGATTTCACACCACGTTGGTAGCAGTCTATATAACATTACAAGTGATAGACACAGAGACTTGTGTTTCAAAGTTAGTATTCTATTTCTTACAAAATAGTATTTATGTATAATTACATTATTATTAACAGGATTTCATCAAATCTTTACAATAATATTATCTACGTATGCTTTGATTGTAAACACACACATATACATATATATATGTCGCGGTAGCGGTAAACGATGACAACAAATTGAATTTAAAATAAATTTCATTTTTTGTTATAATCCGATTGATATTGTTATAATAATAACCGATGAGAAAAAAACACAAATCTTTTTGTTTAATAACGTATACATATTACGCACTTAAATACACAAGTGCATAGACAAGTATAATATAATAGATAGGCGACTGCTGTGTTAATTATTTGGACTGCATCTAGCGCTCAAGTAGTATAATGTTTATACGACGAACTAAATCAGTATGGCTATGCGACGGGACTTTAATTTAGTTTTTATTTATGGTACCATTTATTAGAATTAATTATTTTATATTTTTCAAATGAAAACACAATATACAAAATTAACATAAAAATATTTTATTTTTTACAAAATCATTACAATAAAAAAATATTAATATCAAATATTAATCATATAAATCAGTCTCATTTAAAATAACAATTACATATGTTTCACTATTAGTCATATAACATTAAAATAAATCAGTCAAACAAATAGTAATAATCCAGTTTAATTAATGGTTAATTGAATCACTAAAAAAATAATAATAATTATTATTATTTTTTTAATTATAATTATAATTATAATACTCTCTTTAAAATAAATTATTTGTTAATTGATTAAAAAAAAAAACTCAAAAACATATTGATTATAATTTGGTATACTATTTAATTAAATTTGCCTTGGATTAATTTTTTCTTTGAATGTTTTGAATGCCATATACTTTTTTATAGGGTCTTTATCATGGGGCCTCATTTAAATTTTCCCTGACAATATTCTATTAATTTCAGTGCACCAATGATTTAAAAATAATTTGACAATACATACAGCAATTTCTTCCTCAATATTTTTTTCGTACTTAGAACAGTGTAATACATTTAAATAAAAACTGGTCATTATTTTGTTCAATAAAAAGGATTTAATATTTGGGTGGTGACTGACAGACGGTAAACATTTATTAATTAAATCAATAATATTATGGACCAAAACTCGAAAATTAGCAGCAGGATATTTAAGTGATGGTTGAGTTGGTTGATATTCTCTAACTTTTATTAGTTCAAAATGTAACAAGTGTAAAAATAAGATTATACTGTTAATCACAGACTGATCCGGCGGCCGCCGGACTCGATTCGTATTTATGTCAATGTCGACGGTCGCTGATTAGCGATAAGGCATCTCGGGTTTTGTTAATGTACAGTTTAGGGAACACAGCACGGCCGGTGTATTACCATCTTGATCCGGGTGATATCCAAATCAGTCCGATGGTAATACCCTGACGCTTCATATATATATATAGGCATACTTGTATAGATAAAAAAATATTTCAACGCAAGGTAATAAAATATTCTTTTAACGACATTTAGTATCGTATCTCTCAGGTATCTTTATAAATAAATAAAACCTTTGAGTCGTAACTTACTTAAGAATAACCTTTTCTCCTATAACACTACCAAGGAGTATGTCCACAACTATCAGTCTTAACCCAAAAGAGTAATAAGATTAAGGGTACTCAACTATACAAGCACAAATTACTCGTTAGGTTAATACCAAGGACGTGTCGTATACAGACCCAGCTGTATTTCAAAGTGAAACTTCTTTTACCTTTCCTTATAATAATAAAAAAGGAAAAATAGTTCAATAATAATGATAGCGTAATAATTAAAAGAAATAATTGAAAACAATATGAAAACGTGTAAAACAAGAATCATTTAAGGTACAATAAAGTAATACATGATAGTAAAGACTTATTGTCCAAAAACGTACAACATAAATAATTGAAATTTTGAAAATATTTATAAGGTTACTGCCTCGGGAGGCCGTATTTATGCGGAAGAAAAAATGGGGAAAACATCAATTTTTCGGAAAAAATATCTCCGGGACGTATATTACTGGATCTGTATAATTACGGAAACTTTAAAAACTGGACGTAAAATTCAGGATCGTAAAATATCGTACCTTATAAATACGGAAAATAAAATGCTTGACCGTAGAAATCTGGAAAATATTGTTTTAAGTGTTTCTGCATTTGCTCTCTCGTTTCATATAGTTTTATTTATTGTATATTTACTGAAGCACGGTGTGTCGGAATAAAATTTCAGCAAGATAAAATTATTATTTATTAGATATTGACCAGTGTGTTTTAAAATTAATATTGTATAGCCCAACAAATTGAAGTTAGTAATAACTTTTTTCATATCTTCTATTAATGAAGATTTCCTTTCGATTTCGATCATTCTTAAAATAACATAAATTTTATATTATTAAAGTCCTTGAATCTAGTAATGATTGCAATCATTACCGCTCACCTCTCGCCGACAACAGTATTTTCCTGTAAAATTTTATTTTTGGATTTCGTACCTGTACATGCGTGCGTGACAGGCACGTAGCCAGAAAATGTTTATTGGAGGGGCCAACAATTTTGAGCCCTTGTATCATTTTCCATAATTTGTTTCCCATGAAAAGCTTGTGGGGAAGGCTCCCTCCACTCCTCCTTAGACAGTATACCATTCTATGAATCTTACAAGTTCATAATTTGTATTTATTTTTAAAAAAATTGGTGGATAATTCCAAAAGTTATATGATCTGCTATTTTCTTATTAATATCCTGATTAAGATAAAGTATGTCGAATGAAAAAGGGATTATTAAAAAATATTATTTCTCATAAAAAAATTGTATTGATCCATACATTTTTCAAAAAGTTATAGCATTATAAAGTTAAAAATGTAAAATACAAAATCAAGAATTTTCATACAAATTAGAATTTGGTAGCCATTTTCACCGTGAAGACAATTAAAGTCCGAAATTTTTTTAAATAAAAATGTACATTACATTAGCTTTAATTTAAGATATAGATAAAAGTTTCAGACTTTCTGGAACATTTTAAAAATTTAAGTGGAAAAAGTTAATTTTTTGTGAAAAAGTTGTCATTTTAAATTCCCCCCGTGGGCAGGTAAAGGGTCAGATTTATAAAAAAAATATATCAAATGAAAAGTAAAGATATCATGCATCTATATAAAAAAGTTATGACAATTTTAAGTAAAAAAAATTTCGAAAATTTCGAAAATTAGCGATTTTTAAATTTGTAATTTTTTGGGGGGTTTCTCCCATTGACGGGGAACGAGGAAAATTTTTTCAATTTTTGAGGGTAATGTCTTCGACTAGATACGATTTGTGATCTTTTGACGTATCATTGAAAGAAATCGGTTCGGCGAGATTGAGAAAAAGTGGTAACAGATACAAAAAAAAAAATAAAAAAACACATCATAGTAAAACCAAAATCTTCTCAACTTCGCATCGAAGCTAATAAAATAATGATGTGAACATAAGCTGATTTAAATTTTCAACTTTTAAGCTATTAAAAATGTTCCGGAAATACTGCGTCCTTAAAACATATCAAATTAATACAATTATGCACGTAAATTAGAAAATGTGTTATAATTATGTGGAGTTGGCGATTGTTTATATATTTTATGAGAAATTTTTTTATCAAAAATTAGTTTCTTCAACGTATGGCTGAACCAATGAGGGTGCTTTGAAAAGTATAAAGTTTTAACCGGGCAATAAGTATTAATTATTTTAAAAACGTTTTCATAGAATGCATTTACTGCATCATTTATATCTAGACCATTAAATATGCCATTCCAGTCAAGCGAAGCAATATTAGACCTAATACAATTATAATCACAGTTAACAAAATCATACATATGTTCATTATAATTTAAGTATTTAAATGATAATTTAGGTAATTCAATTGTTAGGGCTGGATGGTACATCGAATCTATTGGTAGTAACGTGTGATTTTCATTAACTACTTTAATATCAAACCCGTTAGAAAAAACGAGATCAAGCAATGACCCAGAGCGATTATATATTAAATTAAATTGCATTAAATTTAAATAAGATAAATGAGCTAATACTTTAGATTCAATAGAACCAGCACGAGCACCCACGGCGACAATTAAACCATTAACAGATTGCCAATTAATATTTGGTAGATTACAATCACCAAAAATTAGAAATTTTGAACTACTATTTGTATTCAACAAAACATCAATAGTACTAAAGTGTAAATCATAAACATTAATATCAGAGGCAGGCGGAATATAAACAGCACCAATAACTATAGATGAATATTTATCGTTAATTCGGATAAATAACTGTTCAACTGAGTTATCGGAGATAGATAGGTGATGGCATGAGAACCGGTTCTTAACTGCAATCAGCACTCCACCACCTCGTGTAATAACATCACGAGTACTGCAACGGTCACATCGATAAATAGTATATAGGGGACAAAGACCAAGTTCCGCGTTGAATACATTGTTGGATAACCAGGTTTCCGTAAGTATAATAATATCATAATTGCAAAGAGAAACATTACGAGTAAACAAATCCAGTTTAGTATTAATACCTCGAATGTTTTGATAGTAGATGGAAAGTTGACTTACAATTGTTGGGTTCGTTGACCGTTTTTTGAAATGGTCGGACAGTTATTAACAAATTTAATAAAAAGATCAGTTTCACCAGCATCCTTCCGCAATTTAAGTTCAGAGGCAATAGAAGAATACAACATACGTTGTTGTAACGTTTGGTCTGATGAAACTCTAACAGTTTTAAATTTATCAACATTAAATAGCTGTCTTTTGACTTTTAAAATTTGAAATACATCAGACGGTGAAGGCATAACAATACGGATAGGACGAGGCTTACTTGAAGGCTTACCCAGTCGGTGAATAGACAGAGGTTTGGTAGACACGCCAATAGTATTAAACATTTCGTCAATAAGAGTAGTATCATTTTGTTGGACAGCACTAGATGTTGAATGATCTTGTACATTAAATAATATAATGTTACGAGCTCTGGATTGTCGGTCCATAAATTCAGAGAATAAATTTTCTTGACTGATAGAGTTACTATTTGATTGAGACTGCTCAACTGATGACAGTTTAGACTCAAGTTGCTCAATTCTCGATTTCAATGACTTATTTTCCTTAATTACCGAAATAATTTGATTGGACAATAAGTCAAATTTGGAGTCAAATGAAGCCAGCTTATTGTCTTGTGATTTAATAGATTCACGACATGAATTAATTGATTGTATGATTTTATTTTGTGAGTTTTTTAATT